GGTGGCTTTAGCCATGCCACATAAATATATATGGTACCAGTAGACCAGATGAAGCATTTTTGCTTCATCTCTGTGCATTATTCCTGGGCTCTCCCTTCCTGAACACAGAGAGCGGCTTGCCCAGTCTGTTAAGATAAGACGCTTGTCCCGGATGACGAGATGTGAGTGGAAGGGTTTGGTATCATAGTCAAGCAGGAGGCTTTAGTTAGGAGTCAGCGAGAGATCTTCATGCCCTCTCTCCCTTATGCAATCAAAACCAAATGTTCAACTGAAGACAATATAGGACAGAGGCTGCCTGAAATCCTGTTACCGTGAGGAGGGTGGGCAGTACACTGAAGGCTAAGTGCAGGCTGCAAAGGACTCTGGGTGACAAGAGACACAAAATGCTCTGATGCAAAAATATATTTCATTCTTCAACATAATCTCACCCATGCTAACACATTTCATTCAACTCAGCCTGTTATGCAAAACCAGTCTATGTGTCTCATTCCTTTAGCACCCATTCCTCAGGTCTCTACAGCTGAATTTGATAGTGGAGAAAACAGCCATGAGTTCACATGGCCCACAGCCCCAGATGCTGGATTTGCTTTAATTCTCCCTAAGTCTGGAAGCAGCAAAAGTACTCCAGGACAAGAGAGGGCAGGCTATGTTTCCTAGCCGCCTCACAGGCAATGAACAGCAGATTAGGAAATTCCAGATAGGACAGAAAGCCAGAAAAATGCCACTAAGTACTGTTATAGTGGGAAACTAAATCTCTGAGAATAACTCCAAACTAAGAAGCAAAGAGCCACCCCTCTGCACTTTCCTCAGCACCAGGAGAGATGCAGCCGTAAGTTAAATGACTGGCAGGCTGGAGAGAAGCCCCGTGTGTGTTGGTGCCCAGTGGCGGCAGCACTAGCACCATGCTGGGCTAACTTAGGTTTGACCAACTGAACTGAGCAGACTCTGTCAGACGACTGTCTCTGAGAGGGAAAACCAGAACTGATGTGACAGCCCTGCAGATCTGGACTCATGGTTTTTGAATCACAGGCCACGTAACTCATGAGCTCAACAGTTTGCACTCAGCAACGTTTTAACGGAAATAAAATGGAGCAAGACTGAAACACCCTGCTCTTCGTAATAGAAAACGTGGCTCCACGCAACCTCTGCTTCAGCATACATGATTATGGTCCCATGGGGTCACAATTTTGTTGGGGGTTGCCCTTATGAAATCTGGAAACCATTGACCTAGTCGATCAGAAAGCTGGATCAAGAGAGAGCTGTGTCTTTACCATAAAATTTTAAAGATGTGATAAGTAACAGGTTTCCCAACGTCTGTTATATCCGTAAAGTTGACGATATAAAAGAAAACAAGGTAAACTTCACAGGGAAAGTATAATATCCTATATCCAGTCTCCCTAGATACACAGCCCTATCCATATCCATAGCAAAGCACAAAATGGAAATCCTAAATTCACGTATGAAGCAGAGGGGAGGTGAAAGGAGACAGAACCCAGGGAACAGTCCACATTGCAGCCCACAGAAGCGGACAACAGCCTTCTTAGTCCACAGATCCTCAGGAAGGGAAAGGGGAGCATTGCTGACAGAGGGACGAACCGGAGTCAGCTGAGTACACAACTGCAGACATGCTTGACCTGAAGCAGATGAAGGACACTCACGGCTGTGCCTGGGCAGTTCAGTAGGAATACAATATGAATGCTTCCTAAACCTGCCTCGACCTCTCCTTTACCCTGCCCAGGGAACCTGGAGCTCATCTTGTAGCTGCTTGTGGGTCTGAGAAGTCCCTGCCCCGCTTCTCTTACAGGAGCCTGTTCCTGATCCTTAGACGGCCAGGTTACCACCCCTGACAGGCTCACCCCACTGCACACTTGTTAAATCTCCCCCACCTTCTTCTCAGCACACCAAATTATCTTGTTGCTGTCTGTGCTTTGGATAGGAGACCTAAAGACCAAGATTTGTCCAGTTCTCTCATATAGGGTTGCAGCCCTATAAGGGGTCACATGATCAAATGTCGGGACCAAGGAAACTTGGGCAACATTAAACATTTTCTGAAAATATAACCAAAAGTCAATTAAAAATCAGACCAGTAATGAAACCAAGGTGTTTCTGGCAGTCCCTGAGCCCAGTGAGCAAGCACACGACACCCGGCAACTTTGGTTCCAGGTGCTCAAGCTACACAACTGGTCCCATCCATGTGGTCACCCCTTGTAACCCGAGGGCTGCTGTAGCCTTGGTTCTGGACCCTTGAGCTGTAAATCTAGAACATGAGCCCAGAAGAGTGAGCAAAGGGCTGCGGCAGAGGTGCTTCAGGGCTGTGACCACACAAATCTAGGACTGGCTAAGATGATACGCTATTTCTCACACTCAGAACAAAGTAGGGGTGGGGAGGTGCGCTTAGTAAGGAAGAAAGGAGAGTTGATAATAAGTGTGGGAAGTTAGAACTTAATGTCTGGTCCTCCTGCCTTCACTAGGACTACAAGCATGTACCATACACAGTTTATGTGGTGCTGGGGACAGAATTCAGAGTATACACTGGACAAGCACTCTGCCAACTAATTACATCCTAGGGTCGCCCTTTCGTTGTTGCTGTTGATTTGTCATTATGAACTGCATTAAATATCTTATTTACTATTTCAGTATAATTTAGGTCTAGTGTAAGCAGGAACCATGTCCCAGACTTTGCTATCAGTAAAACCAGAAACTGCAACAATATACAATAAATAAGGTTGTTCTACTATATTCTTATAAGAAAAATAAATTTGTATGGGTGGCCATGTTTTCAATTACTTTCTATCCTCAACTATTAGAGGCAAACAAATCTGCTTCTATAAATATGTGTAATAGCAGAGTAATAATTCTCTAGAAGTAAAAAACCTGGGACCAACTTGACAACAACACAAAGTGTGTCAGCATCTCTACTCCTGCTACACTATAGATATACATTGTTAGCAGAGACATTTTCATTTGGTCCAACAAGCATTGGTAAGCTAGAGAGCAAACTTGAACACATTACTCAGTGCACTTCGTTTAGGAAACATCCATGCCATCAGGATCTTCATTGTGCACGAAAGGCCAGCAAGAATGAAAGAGTTTAAAAGAGCATTTTTTTCTCAGAATTAAAAACAAAATTACTGAAGAAATTCATTCATTATGGATTTACCACCAAAGAGCCTTGTTTTTCCTCCTCGCTGGCTACAGTTTGAGAAGTGTTTCAGCGTCAGTAATGATGGCAGCAGAGTGTATGGACATAACTGATTTGAGACGATCTGACAAATCCTTACTGAATTCTTAAATCTACTGAAATTCACATTATTCTCCATATCAAACACTAGACTGACACATCACCCCAGTCTGGAGATGCACATATGCCTGTCACTCCTATGTGGGACCTTTGCAAAAAGCAGTAAGCTACAGGCTGAGTCCATTTCAAAATGTTCAAAATTGGATGTCAAGTTAGATGTACGAAGTCGGTAAGGCTGGATGGATAACTATAGCCTACTCAAGAATGGCTGCAAGATAGCATTAAACAATGCACGTGTGCACAGGCATGTGCAATATGTGTGGGTATACATGCAGCTATAAACTAGTGCTTCAAGTGAATTAATAGCAGGGTATTGTTATGACATGCCAATCAGGTGAGCAGTACAGAGTGGTAGTGTCTTTACTGTTGATAAGGCTTTTTCCTAGACATCGTCTACCACATTGACTGCAAGAACTGAAACTTCTCAAATGAAACTTTATCAAAGGATTAAGCAAATTTATTGATTTATTATAAAATTTCATACCAATTCTTTGATGCCTAGAAAAGGTAATAAAGTTCTGTGACCTAAGTGTGAAGCAAAGGGGGAAATGTTACAGACTGGTGTGGAATCTTTTGCTCCCCATAACTAATAAGGGTGAAATTGGGGGAACATGTCAGCAATTCCACCACACTTTACACCAAGCCAAACTCTGTGTGTGCCACAAACTGTTAATAAATGCTAGACGATAGATTCAAAGGCACACAGAATCTTTGGGGAAAAGTCAGAAATAAAAGCCTTTAAAAGTCTCTAACCAGTGGTTATCTGGATGCTTGTTTAACTGGTTATTGAGTTTAACTCATTGTTCCTCGCTGGCCCATTTAAAAGCTCCTCATTTCACATCTAAATATTGCTGTGAAGGAATTAGTGACTTCCAAGGAAATCATGACAGCAAAGACAGACACAATTAAATTAAAGCTAATTGACTTTTGCTTCAGTTCTTCTTTCAGAATTCTCCATTTCCCGTGTCTTACACACACAGGGAGAAAACTGGGGCCTAAGGCCCCTTGAGACGCCCTGCTTAAAACTTCATTTCAAGAGCATTTCTTCCAGGAATTTCCAAACAATTTTCTTGGCATTGCTAATACAAGGTTTCAGTTACACCAATTCTATTTTAGGTACAAAGGACATCAAGGTACTGTTAACTCTAATATGACCACTGAGGGGGATTTCTTTTATGCTAAAGGGAGAATTTTTTTTTCCTTCTTATTTGTTAGGGATCATCTTTAGGTTTTCTTTCCTAGTTATCACAGTCGCACGTCCTTTGGATAAATAAATATATATGAATTATTATTACCTCTGGCATTTAAAAATGTTCAGTGAAGTCTTCTTCCAAACTAGAGCTTCTTCATTAAGTTATCTTGCAATCATTACAAATAAGATACAAGGCGCTCTCCATGGCAACAGGAAAAGTCAGGCTTATCAGTATTACTTTAAAAAAAAAACCACTACAAACAACAAAAACCTCGGGGCCTGCATGAGGTCAAATAAACAAGAGTATGGAAACACCGTGTACAAGGTAACAGGGAACCGTGGGCACCTGTCAGGAGCGGCTGGTTTCTAGAGCAGTTTTATAACGAATGCAATCAATGCTGCATAGCTGGCATCCCTGTTTTGAACCACGACCAACACACACACACACACACACACACACACACACACACACACAGTAACTAGTTGAAATGGTATTGTGTCTCTTACCTAAAGAATGTGCAGCCGTGGTTTTGGAACTGAAGAACCGACCCAGCCCAAGATCTCCGAGCTTTACCACCCCAGTGGCTGTAATGAACACATTAGCTGGTTTTATATCTGTGAAGAAATGAAGGCATCGGGTGAAAGATGATGTAACTCTGAGCATTTGGAAGGAAATTTTATACTTGGAGAATAGATATTTATAATTAGGAGAAATCAAAATGTATATTAAATATGAAAGTCTGAACTGTGAAATACTCACTCTACTTTGAATGTTTTTCATATATTTCAAATTTCCCAGTCCTACGAGAATCCTCGATACACCTCGATGAAGACTGCTAATATCCATGTCAAATACTTTTGTCTTCCATTTCCAAAGAATATTTATCAAAATTTAATACGCAAAATAAATGCATGCCCCACTTACAACAAGTGTAAATAACATGCTACTGAAGATTAATTCATATATTCATATCAGTTATAACACCGTAGCTTAGCAGCATTGTGCGTGCTGTATTTAAAATTAGACAGTTTTAGAAATCATAATTCCTGAAATAAATTGCTTCCCAATTTTTTGTACTCCAAAACCAGTGCATCAGTCACTTAGTGACTGTCCCTGCCCAACAACAGGAATGACAATGAAGAATACGTAAGGAGTAAGGCTGGAGACTAAAGCAATCTGTGTAGCCAGAGTACACTTTTCATCTAAAGGAGAAGCAAACCCTCTTCCTCGTACACATCCAACTGCTTTTCTGCAGCTTAACTTGCTTTACCGATAGGACAAGCAAGATATTCAGAGAAGCCAAGCAAAACCATAATTTTCATTCTTATTTATAACCAAGTAGGACTTTACTTATAGACTTGTAATCTTAATAAACTATAATTTGGACATAAAGTATCCAAAGAAGGGTACTGCAGCAGATTAAATGGAGGCTATTTTGAACTGCCTGATGGCTTACATTATTTAAAACAATGCCACCGTTTCCTAGTGTGCTTCTTACCTCTATGCATGACTCTTCGAGAATGCATGTGCTCCAGTGCGCTGCAGAGCTGAACGAAGTATTTCCATACGGTTCTTTCAGGGATTAGCCTCTTTTGTTTCTTAAAATGCTGTTTAAAAATATTAAAAGAATAATGACTATGAGAATTCAGATTTCTTATGAATTCCAGCATTCCAAATCGGTAAGTCTGAAAAATATCAACTTTTATCTCCCCATTACTAATTTTGAAAAAGCATGACTTCCTATAAGAAATGACTCCAGGAATTTCATTTGACATAATGGTTTACATTTCTTCCTACTTATGGTAGCAAAAGCCATGGAACACTACATCTCTGTCATATCCAACTACTTAAAAAAATACACCTATATAAAATGATTTATCTCAAAGTTCAAGAAAAGCTACAGTATTGAGAAATGAAGAAATATTAATGCAATGAGACTCATTAAAAGACAATTCCTATTGGGTATGCAGCTCAGTTGCTAAAGTAGGTGTTTAGCGTGCAAGAAGCCCCAGGTCCCATGCCCAGCGACACAAAAGTAAGCATGCTGTTGCACGCCTATAATCCCAGCACTTGTGAGGCAGAAGCAGGGGGAGGAAAAGTGCAAACCCAGCACTTGGGAGGTGGGTGCCTGAGAGCAGAAGTGCAAGGTCACCCTCAGCCAGACAGAGTTTGAAGCCTGCCTGGCACATAAGACTTTGTCTTTGAAATCACAAGAAAAATTGGGAAAACAAAGGACAGTTCTGCTTCAGGCAGATGTCTTTACTCCAGAATCCTTAAATACGGAGCTATACTGGCAACCTGAAATACTGTAATTTATTAAAAATTAAGTGAACGTATTTCTCTACAATGTTTCCATGAGTAAATCCACTGCACATTAAAAGCTAAACCTGTCCCTTGAATGAAGGAAAACACTCCGGAGAGTCAGATTTTTAGAGGAGAGCTGAAACAAACAGCAGTGAGTACCAGCAGGCAGTGTAGGAGACAGTGGGCCATAGACTGGCAGAGAAATTGCTAGAACAACCACAAGCCATGGCTACAGAGCTCTGTCCATTTTCCTCTATTAAACCTGTCAGAGACTAGTATTGCAGCACACCAAGAACCAAGCTCTCAGCCCCACTGGATAGTCTGTATATAAACAACATTTTTTCATAACAGAAGTGCAGTGGGTTGCTTATTGGATGATTTTTATAAATTACTCACATGTAGAAACAGTGGCTTTCAATGGCTTTTTTCACAAAGCTTTCAGACAATTTTATCTGTGTGAAGTTTGTGTACTTACTAACAAGTCAGAGTTTAAACCTGTCCTTTACTGTATTTGAAAACCACATTCGGAAAAGTTTGACCAATTAATTTTTGATATTGAATACAAAGGAACTACATTTGAAGAAGTGAAGAAAAAAAACCTAGCCCTTATGGTTTTTACACCTGTGGCCAGGTGCAGTCTGGATGAAAAGGCAAAGCTACAAGAAAACCCCTGGTGCCCTTCTCCAAAAGCAACAAATGATGCCTGCCCCCGCTGTGCCCTTTTGCTATAGCAGATAAAAGTCTTTAAAAAAAAATGTTACTCTTTCCCAAATAACACATTTGAAAATCAACTATTCTGCAATTTCATTAGCAACTGAATCAGTACCCTTATATTCTAAATGACCAGGAAATAGTAAAGATGCGTCACAGTCTTTCCTGGTAAACGTTGAGCGATGCTCATATTGTGCTCCAATATGCAGGGTTTCTTTTCTGGCAGACTGTGTCAATATCAGTTTTCGCTGGAAGGGGACAATGCTGAAAATTCAGTTCTTCACACATAATTTTCCTTGAGACTTGGAATGCATCCAAATAAAGCCTGTGCCTGTGCTCCCCCAATGCCACATTAACATATCAGAGGACTGTTTGATGCCAACAGAAAGATGGGTACTGGGTCTCTTTTCATTCAAAAATAAATATACTGTAACATGTAGGCATCAGAACATGTTAAAAAAAACTTAATGTTTTAACAGAGTCTGAATACATTTCAACTGTAATCAAATTACCAGATTATTATTTTAAATAATTAAAATTGAGATTATAACAGAATTACATCATTTCCGCATTTCCTTTCCTCTCTCCAAACCCTCCCATGTACTCCCCATGCCCCTTGGTTTCTTTCAAATTCATAACCTCTTTTTTTAGTTGTTGTTGTTGGTGGTGTGTGTGTGTTTATTTTTAGTCTCATAATAAAAAGACAAAATATAAAAGGCACTGGAAAACACTGGCCACAAAATGCACGTTCGGAAACATGCGCACAGGTTGAGAAGATCTGTTTCCCTGTTTTTATATTCTTCTCTGACACTGTTCCTTCTAACAAATGAGCTGAAGTTAATCTCACGTGACCCGTACACAATGACCTGGCAAGGCTCAGGTATCTCACAACTACAGAATAACCTGAATTTGACTATCAGAATATAAAGTCTGATTATACTACAGGTATTGCTCAATTCTGAAATGTCTACTTAAAGGCTTGGGCTTGTCAAATATTCTTTAAATGCAGGGCTTTTGTGAGTTGAGGAAGCCAACAGCTAGAATGTTGAAGACCTGTCTGTTCTCATGGTGGCACTGTTGTCTGCCTCCTAAAAGAGGGGGAGGAGCAAAGCAGGGAACCGGGGACTGACTTTTCACACTGGAAGGTACTCAAATGCACATTCCTCTTTCAAAGGGGAGTTCTCTAGCAGGACGGCATCACTTCCAGAGCCCCTGCTTTCTAAAGCTGGCCATCCCTGTAATAACACTTTATTTCATATTATAAAGCATCTAATGCAAACATAGAAGACTTAAAATTAAGTGTGCATAGACAACAATGAACACGAGGGAAGTTTCTAAAGATTAATATCAATGAAAATATTTACATGAAAGGTTATGTTTGTGCCATTTTTACCATGTTCACACTATGCTATAAAATGACTTTAAACCCAAAATAAAGTCTGTGAACAAAAGTTGCCCTGTAGGTTTAATGGATCACTTGGACATAACTTTCGTTTGGGTTTAGTATTTTTATAAAGAAGGCTTGCCTTGAAATACTGCATCTATATTCTACCAAGATCAACAGCACTCATATACACACTGGATTGTAATTCAACAAAAATACTAGATGCAAGTTATGAACTTAAACACAAACATGAGATCACGTTATAGTTTCACTGAGTATAGAAAAGTTTACTCACACCTCAATGAGGTGAGGCCAATTTACCTGCCACAGCACATCGACATTGCCACAGAAGTGATTTTTATCGCTATGAAAGACAAGCGATACGAGCTGCCTCCATTTGAATTCTAAGAAAATATACCTTAGTAGACACCTCTGTTTTTAATTGTAAAGTATCCTACAAATTGAATGCTTAACACCAGATCCACGAACAAAGTAGGCCCTGAGTAGTTGTACTATTCTTTGAACTCAGAGCAACCTTGGCTCCTGCACGCTAGACACTGGAGCCCCAAGTACACTGTTCATTTCTCAGGGTGCATCTCTAGGATCCTTAAGAAATTTCTGGAAAAGCTTCAGTGAAATTCCTCAGCATACATTCACTGACAGAGAAAAAATTATCCTGACTTGTAACAGGCATTAATATCCACGACATATAAAAATATTTAAGCCGGTAGTTACATATCCTAATCTTTACTAAGAAAATTTTCCTAGGGAAACATCTGGGATTCTCAGCGGTAGTGTCGTGGGCGTGAGGCTGTTTTGGTCAGAAATCAGCCACTTGATTGTCACCTCAAAAAGTCTTTTTATTTTTGATAATGGGCCCCACAATTATGTAGCTGCTGACTGGAATCTACATAAAGCAACTTTAGGAATGTATTATTCTGGTTAAATAGTAAAATCAACAGCAGGAAGTGATTTATGTTAAATATAAAGAAGCATTTCCTACTTGGAACTACTGTCAAATATTTAAATGGGCCTCTAACAATACACACCTGTTTGACAACAAAAGTGACTATGAGGTTTGACAACAATTAATCATGTGACCTTAAGCAAGCCACTCGATAATGTTGGTCTCTTTCCTTGATGCATTAAACTGAATTTGGACATGATCAACAAAGTCCCTGCCACCTCTAAATACTGTCTGTGGGTCAACAATTTCAGTAGCAAGTAACACATAAGTTACAATCCATTTGGCACATTTTCACACTTAAAAACAGTAAGTTTACAGGTCTGTCATACCTCTCAAATTTCTGTTAGTAATAAAGCAACAAACGGGGCCAGAGATCCTAACAAGATTCACTTACTATACACATGCTCTCATGTGAGGCGATGGCAGGTAGATTCCTCTACAAGGACCTTGTAATTAGGTCAAATATTTACCATCAGCAGGGATGTTATATCTCCAAACACCTTTGTAATTACAATGCATTTCTTTTTATAAAATGACATTTTGTGGTTGGTTATTGTTGCGAAGAATTGAAGGCAGAGACTGGCTACGGAAAAGACAAATTGCTTTTAAATGTGTAACTGGCCTGTTCTGTGCAATTTTGATTGTATGAATATATGTATATATATATATATATATATGTACATATATATATATATATTGTTTTAAGGAAATGTTCCTTCTGAACACGTAATGAGGAACTGCAGACTCAGATATACAACTACTTGCTATACACAGATGTGGGAGAATGCCGTGGGTAAACTACCTATCAACTGGCATTTCAGTACTACACTAATTTCAGTATTGCACCAAGTATTACACCTCTTGATGGTCAAGAAGAGGCTCGGGGACTTCAGATGGATTTCGAAGATGCACAGCATAACGGGCCTGGCCACCAGGCATTCACTGAACATACCCTGCTGGCATCTCACTTTACTTCCTTCGACAGAATATTTTCCAACCAGGTCACGATGTTCTTTCACCTACAGGTTGTCTTCTAAACACAGGTGTATCAGCATCAGGAAAATTTTCAGGATATTTTTAAAAAAGAAAAATCAGTAAAGCATTTAAAACCATAATAACATAAGGGATGGACTCCTACATTGCAGTGAGGAACTCTGATGAGAAGAGCCCGACAGCAGCTAAAGCACGCTTCCATGCTGTACCAAAGTTTCACTTTATACACAGAGTGCTCTGCGTAAAGT